GCCGGGAGGATGACAGGACCACCAGCCATTGCGCGGTGGAGGACGCTGCTACGGCGGTAAATCTCTCTCTCTCTCTCTTTCAATCGATCTCTCTCGCCCTTCTTCTCCCCGGCGCTTTATGCTCTCAGCAACGGCTTGGAGGCGGCGAAAGCAAATGCAGGCAAGGTAATGAGGGGAGGGGCAAGTCTCTTTATGTATTTGTGCAGGGGTAAGACGAAACCGCTGGGCGACGAAATCGGGGAAGTTTCCCTCAGATCCGGCGCATATAATCCAGATCCGATCTCTCCGCCCACGCGCCCACCTTCTCCACATTTAATTGCGCAGATGGTTATGTCCCATCCATCGACACCACGTCACAAGAAGAACGGCAGCTCCCGAAAAAGACCGCCAAAAAACGCTACGCCGCCGTTGTCACCGATGGAAGGAAATACCCCCACCGATTCCTTCCGAGCTAAGGAACCGCACGCAAAGCCCGCTTCACGGTCCAGAGGTTCAAGGCTGGGCCATTTATGGTCTCGGCGGCCGCCTCGGGATTGCAGTCAGGGGACAACTATGGGCGAGCCCGTTACATGGCCGAGGCCTAGGCAAGCGATTGCTTGGGATGCCCTAAGTCGTGTCCGAGACCCAAGCAGGAGTTCTCTAAAGGGATCCCACCGTAGGGAGGCACCGAGCCCCTAGGGCCAATCGAATGGCCCCTGGCACCCGCTAGAGAAGCCTTCTAGTACTTTTTGGAGCGTGTCCTGGACCACTAGTGACCCCTATCGAATGGGGCACGGGCCTCCACTCGGACTTACCGATAAAAGCTCACCGGAAATGTCACCTTTCGCGCCCACCGAGGTGGTAGCTCGGCATGTTCCACCCCTCCTTCCGAAAGCGTAAAAAGGATGCGCGAGGGTCGACATAAAAGCCGGGGAACTCTCGATCGCCCTCTCGCTCCGCTGGAGGCTCGGGGCTCTTCCGCAACCTTGCCGAGACCCAGCCAGTGACCTAAGCTCGCACGTGAAGGGCTCGGAAAACAACCCCTCCTTCGAAGCGAAAAGGATGCGCGAGGGTCGCTTTAAAAAGCCGGGGGACTCTGATCGCCTCTCGCCACGCGGCGGAGGCTCAGGGCTCTTTTCGCAACCTTGCCGAGACCCGGGCCTAGGCTCGCACGCTTGAAGGGCTCGACAAACAACCCCTCCTTCCGAGCGCGAAAAGGATGCGCGAGGGTCGTACAAAAAGCCGGGGAACTCCCGACGCCCTCTCGCTACGTGCGGAGGCTCGGGGCTCTCTCCCGCAACCTTGCCGAGACCAGTGCCCTAGGCTCGCATGCGAAGGGCTCGGCAAACAACCCTCCTTCCGAGCGAAAAGGATGCGCGAGGGTCGCATACAAAAAGCCGGAGGAACTCCTGATCGCCCTCTCGCCACGCTGCGGAGGCTCGGGGCTCTTCCCGCAACCTTGCCGAGACCCAGTGGCCTAGGCTCGCACGCCGAAGGGCTCAACAAACACTGAGGGTCGTACAAAAGCCAGGGAACTCCCGATCGCCCTCTCGCCACGCTGCGGAGGCTCGGGGCTCTTCACGCAACCTTGCCGAGACCCAGTGGCCCTAGGCTCGCACGCGAAAGGCTCGGCAAACAACCCCTCCTTCAGAGCAAAAAGGATGCTCGAGGGTCGTACAAAAAGCCAGGGGAACTCCTGATCGCCCTCTCGCTATGTGCGGAGGCTCGGGGGCTCTTCCTGCATCCTTACACCCCGAGGGTCGGAAAAACGCGACAAAAAAGGGCACCTAGCCCATTACGGTCCAGAGGTTCGAAGGCTGGGCCATTTATGGTCTCGACAGCCGCCTCAGGACGACAGAGTCAGGGACAACTATGGGCGAGCCCGTACATGGCCGAGGCCCAGGCAAGCGATTGCTTGGGATGCCCTAAGTCATGTCCGAGACCAGCAGGAGCTCTCTAAAGGGGATCCCACCGTAGGGAGGCACCGATCCCCTAGGGCCAATCGAACGGCCCTGGCACCCGCTAGGGAAGCCTTCCGGTACTTTTTTGGAGCGCGTCTCCGGACCACTAGCCGACCCCTATCGAATGGGGCCCGGGCCTCCACTCGAACTTACCCGATAAAAGCTCACCGGAAATGTCACCGCTCGCGCCCACCGAGGGTAGCCTGGCATGTTCCACCCCTCCTTCCGATCGAAAAGGATGTGCGAGGGTCATACAAAAAGCCAGGGGAACTCCTGATCGCCCTCTCGCTCCGCGCGGAGGCTCGGGATCGCACGCGAGGGCTCGGCAGGCTCGGGGGCTCCTCCTGCACCCCAAACGAAAACAAGCGACCCGAGCTCGCTCTCATGGGTCTAGCAAATGCGATAGAGCGCCTCACTCAACGAAGAAAAAGCCCCTAAAGGAGTAAGCTCACTCCTCTTGGGCCTCGGGGGCTACACCCGGCGGGTGCGCTCGCGCGCACCCACCGGAATTGCAAGTATAAAACAAACCCGACAAGAGCCACTGAGAAACAAAAGTCTTGACAAAACCTCGGGGAGAGTATCCCACACTCCCGCCCGAGGCTCGGGGGCTACTGTCGGATACCAGAAAATGGGGTACCCCAAGCAAAGATCGAAAAACTGCTTAGACCCTAAAAACAGAACCAACGGAATAAACAAACGAGGTCTCGGCCGAAATCTCTGATTCGCCCGAGACCCCCGTCCGCCGAGCCCCAATGAAGCAAACGATTCGACCGACTACTTGAGACCGCCTCGCCGAGGCCCCCTCGTCGAGGCCCGTTCATCGAGCCCCCCTCGCCCGGGGCCTCGGAAGAAGTGCCAATTCTCCGATTCGCGCGAGGCCGGCTCGGGACCAGCCCCGTGACCGCCTCTTCGACCGAACTGCTCTGACCGAACGTCGCATCCAAGCGCCCAACCACTCCGACAGACGCACGATGGCACAAGATGACAAGTGATCGACTACACGCCGATCGCGTCAACCTCCGCCGCCATCTGCGACGGGCGGCGCAGCGAGGGTTACCACCACCGTGGCTGCCTAACTCCCGCACCAAAGACATCGCAAGCGTGGGGAGTCGAACGGGTTCTGTCAGAGCCTCGGAATCGGCGGACCGACAGCTCCGTCTCGCCCGAGCCCCCTCGACGGGGCCTCGGATTCACTGATCTTTCTCCGCCTCGCCCGTCCGTCTCGCCCGAGACCCCCCGGTAGGGCCTCGGACGGATTGGCGCGCTCGCCCTCGCCCGAGGCGGGCTCAAATCCGCAACCTCATCGCCTCCGCCTCAAAGGTCTCTTTGGCGGTCGTCAGATCCGATTAACGCGCCGATTGCACCCGCTACGTAAGCCACGATCGGCAGTGCGCTGCAACAGGAGCGACGGGACAACGGTCGGATCACCTTTTTTACCATCCCATCGACAACACAGTACCAGATCCCGTAGGCGCGACGTCTCGTGACTGTTCGCTGATGGCCGCCGAGACCCGCATACGCACTGGGTCACTTCTCGAGGCCTCGACACGGCAGCCTCTAAGACAACAGCCTCGCACAACAGAGCCTCGGCAGACGACCGGGCTATGATGCCGCCGAGCCGGCAATCCACCAAGCCAACAAATGCGCAGCATGTTACTTGCAAAAGTGGAGACCATACCGATTAGACATCTACGGGAACTCCCACGACAACGTCATGTTTGCTCAGGAGTAAACACGTCATCGAATAGTCCGCTTCCGTGTAGCTCTCTTATGTACTCCTGGTTTCTCTCCTGCGGCTATAAAAGGAGGCGGCCAGACCGTTTCTAGGGGACGGCGGATAGAGTCACGAATACCGCACGAACAACACGCCTCATTTCGTAATTCATATCACCTCCCCTCACGGAGATCCGGGACGAACTCCCTCTCTCGCCCAAATTTTGTAACCCCTACTACGAGCACCCCGGTGCAAGGAATACAAGAACATCTTCTCAGACTGGACGTAGGGCATTCATTGCCCGAACCAGTATAAACCTTGTGTCTCTTTGTATCACCATCCGGAATTGGGAGCACGCAGCATAAATTTACTAGTCGGTTAAGAACCCCCGGTTCCGAAACACCGACACTGACCGTGACAAGATTCTTTCACTCGCAAGTATGTTGGCACCTATCCGCCAAAATAGCTATTGCTACGTTTGCAATAACAGATTCCCTGCGCTAGAAAATCGACATAAACACTTTTTTTCAATTACACAGTATAACGTGCGCACACTCACCTCTAATAACGTACGCATGCAAACCTTACCCCTCTTAGCAATTTCGAAGACTGAACTAGTAAATTCTCAAGACGAGATTGACAAGGCATCACAGACGTCTCGCTATTAACAGAAACGTCGCCTATCATTGCCGTGAAATCCTAGATGTCAGGTGCTACCGTGACTCTTGTAAGCTACAGGCCCTCTCACGAAATCAACAGAAACACATTCGTCTAAGAGAGAAGATACCAATAGAGAGATTTTGTTTGTGGCAAACACACATCAACATAAATCAACCGTGCAAAATCTGGAGTACATGAGTTCCGTTAAAAAACACACCGACACTAGGCTGTTGTAAACTTTGGTAGCTTTTGCAAACATATATATATTCAGGTTGGAACTAGAAGCCAAAATCATATCTAGAGCATTGCGATTGCGATGACCACTTCCAAAGTCTTCCTATAGCTAGTCTCCCCGTAGGAATAGGAATATATATAGTGGCTTGGTGTATGTGTTTGGAAAAAGTGAGAGGAGCTCGTTGGTCGGACGGCAGGAGCGTGCCTGCTTACCGGGGGACCGCGCGTCCACGGTCACGTCAGTCGTCGCCCTCGCCGTGCCCCGTCCATCGGGCACCTCGGAAATTCCGTGCTCCGATGACGGCGGCCCGAGTCAAAGTTTTCGGGTCTACGCACACACGACGACGACGCGGACTCACCTATTTACTCTGCCACTACCTGTTTGCCTGTGAGGCCAGTGTGAGCGGTTCACCCTTCTATTCGTCCTGCTAATGCCATCTTTGAAGCTTTCCATGGCTCTGGCTCCATCCTCGTTGCTGCTCTTCCTAGTCTCGTCGTCGGTGTGGGTGGCCTTATCCTTACCATCGCCGGTGGCGGCAGCAGATGGGCAAGCAGGAGGAGAGCAGTGCCCGCCCTTTTCATGCGGCGACGTGACCATCTCCTTCCCGTTTGGGCTCATCCCGAAGGGCGCCGAGCAGACCAACTGCGGCGCCGGGATTGGGTTCCAGGTTCGTTGCTATAACAACAACATCCCATACCTCGGATACTATCAGAGCGAGCACCGCATGCAGATCCACAGCATATTTAACCACAACCGCTCCTTGCTCATCGCCGATAGACTAGCATATTTGAATAGGTCTAGCCCCGAAGGGTGCCGCATCCCGACAGCCAACACCTCGTCCCGTCTTGTTCCTCCGTTCTCGGTCAGTCCCGTCAATCAGAACCTCATCTTCTACAACTGCACCAAGTCGCCGCCGCCAGGCGCGGGGCTCGTGGAGACGGTATGCCACAAGAACACGTTTGTTCGTGCCGCCGATGGGCGTCCCGACGAGTCAGCAGGCAGCTACTTTTTGGAGGACTGCAACGCTACCATGGTACCGGTGCTCGGGGTGTCCGGCAAGGTGAACGCAACCAACTACGAGCAACTCGTCAGTGATGGCTTCCTAGCGACATGGCCGTGGCTGCCGCCGCCGCCGCCGCCACCGCCGCCAGGTAACTTCGCTCTTGGAACTAGTATTATACCGAGTCTATCTATCTATCAGCTTAGCAGGAAGAGGAATACTTCTTTTGGTCTATATATATATATATACTAGTAGCTTCGAATCAGGGCTTACATATAGAAGTGAGAGGAGCTCATAGTCATATCCTTCGTAGGCCCCATGGAATTAGGTCCCCATTTGCACGCAGGAGTAGCTCTTATCTCACCCTGAGTGACCTTGGCCACCTTGCCTGTTCCCTCGATCCACCGGTAGCTAGTTTTGCCCAGCGGCAGCTGGAAGTGATGGTTATTATCTCGTGTGTCGTGTTCGAGCTCAATTGGTGGCGACACTGACGAATTGCATGCCGGGGGTGTCGTGCGCGCACTGGCCGCACAACAATCCCTGGTATAGTTTTTTAAATTTCAAGTTTTATGATATAAATGATACAATTTACGCCTTTGTGATCCAAGTTTATCGGGTTAATTTTGGATTTTAAAAAATAAAAGCTACGATTTTATAATTCTAATAGTGCTGGTCGTTTTAGCCGCACGACTTTCTTGGTCCCGTTGCATCATGCAGATTGCGGCGTGGCGCTGGCGCGTTGGCGTCGCGTCAGTGCTCCCCACTGGAGCGATCGAGCGTTATCCTTCCTATGGAGATCTTGGTGCTTACTGACACACTAATTGCACGAAGCACGTACTAGCTCTCATGTCACGTACTCTCAGTGACCTTGCTGGCAAGCTTCCCTCAATTCACCGGTAGCGGTACCTCTGGCGCGCGGCAGCTGCATGCAGTCTGCACTGACTGAGTGACATTTGACGAGTTGCCTGGCGGGAGCCCAGGACTGTTCACGTGTGGTGCGCGCACTGGCCACGCCGCAATCCTATAGATAAACGCGTGTGATCACTGGTGCCATCTTCCCTGCCGGCGCAGCGGATGGAGTGCTCGCCGGGTGTCAATTTCACCTGCCATGCCAATGCCATTAATTAGCTTTCTCGTGTCCTCTTCGCGTATGATTGTTCTCGTTAGTGCTCTGACAGACCGCATCAAACGAAAGAATATGAGCACTTCTTTTTTTTTTGAAAAAAGAAAGAATATGAGCACTTGCCTGAAGCTTCGGTGGCTTTGCCGTAAAAAAGGCAAAAATCACTTTAGATTGTTGTAATATACTTTCTTAGCTTTTGCCAACATGTTCATGTTAAACCTACAAAGCCAAAAGCAGCCAAAAGCGTATCTACTAAGGTTATAGGTGCAACTACTCTTTTTTCCTCACCGGTATACATAACAGTTTGACTCTTTCAACTTAGTGATAGAATTAAGTGTTTCAACTGGGGTGAACCATGACTTCCAAGCTCCAATCAAACAAATACAACTTTCAACTAGCATCCAACTTTCAGTGGAGCCTTGATTGGAACTTTCAATCAAAGAACTTGACCTTCCATTTTCATTGGTTCATACTAGCGAAAAGTGTACTTTAAAGTCTACATTTGAGACAAACCATTAAATTCTTTAAAGCGTCTGATTTCAACAATTTCCACGCACAATACTAACAAAGAGAAAAAGGGAAATTCAACTAAAAGAAAAACTATCTTATTTGATGTAAAATGCTATGTAGTCTTGGCCTTCTCAGAGCAAGAAGATGTGCATATCGCCCACGACCTCCAGAAAACACACACAAACAGAGTATGGCGAAGAAGTTGTCAGCAGGATGAGTAGTTATAGAATGTGGATTATTTGCCTTTAAATTAGCACTCTGTTGAGGAATGTTTGTATTTCTCTTAGAATAATTCACTTTTAAGTGATTTTTTGAGTGAAATAGTAAAATTTGAATGCAAGTAGCAAAATTAATAGGGTTGCACTCCTCAGCTTGGTAGTAGAATATATTGCCAATCTTAAGTGGCCCTATATGTATAATTTCAGGGTTTTTGCGTTTTTTTCACTGGCAATTAAGGATAATAGTAGAACTGTTGCTTTGGCTGACACTGACAAGATTCCAATGGATATTTTTCCTAGCACGAGCCTATCGCCCTTATCTACGAAAAAAGCTATTGCTACCTTTGCAAGCCCCAGAAACACATTTGTCTAAGAAAGAAAATTTGTGGCAGACACATTTAAATGCACCGTGCAAAAATCAGTAGTAATTGGGCTTGTAAAAACCACTTCTGGTTGTTGTCAATACACTTCCTTAGCTTTTGCCAACATATTCAGGTGTGAAAGTTGAAACTGCAAGTCAAAATTATATCTAGCGCATTCCGTTGACCACCTTTTCTTTTGGAAAAAGAGTCTGCTAGTCCGGTTTGTGTGTACAGTCGTCGCCGTTCGCTAATACCAGTCCAGGGTTTGACAAAGAAGTGGGACGACGAGCTTATTGGCCGACAGGAGCGTGCCTTACACGGTGGCCGGAGCTGATCAGGGCGCGCGCATCCGGTCACGTCAGTGGCTGCCACTGTCCAGTGTCTATCCAGCAGCTCAGGAATTCCCGTGCGCGGACGACGACGGCCAAAACATCCTTTGCAAAACATCCAGTCAAAGGTTTCGGCCCCCTACAGTGTCCACACAGGACGCGCGGACTCACCCTCACCATTTGTAGTTACCCACTTGCGCGCTCGTGATATTCCTTCTCCCACCATCATCGATTGTAGCTAGTCGAATCACCTTCACCACTTGGTGATGCTAATTTGCTATGCTCCCATCCATGGCTGTGGCTCCGTCCTTACCGTGGCTCTCCCTCGTCTCCTCGCTCTGGACGGCATGGGCGTGGTGGTCGTTGCCTCTGATGCTCGCGACGGCGGCACCAACGTTGGCAAGGAGAGCTCTGCCCGACCACGCTATGCGGCGGCGTGAACATCTCCTTCCCGTTCGGGATCGTCGCCGACCACGCAACGGATACCAACTGCTTGGTGATCGGGTTCCAGGTTCGCTGCTCTAACAACATCCCATACTTCGGGTCGAGTAGATATTCGCCCCGGATTCTCGACATCTTCTACGACAACTCCTCCTTGCTCATCGCCGATGTCAACAAGCTTGAGGACTTCCATAGCTCCGCCACCAAGCCCTGCCACTCCCCGACGAACAACAGCTCCTCCAAGTTCGTCCCCTCGTTCTCGATCAGCCCAGTTAACCAGAACATGATCTTCTACGACTGCGTGGAGCTGCCGGCGCCAGCGGTGCGCAAGAGCCGTGGGCTCGTGGACACGACGTGCGGGAACAGGACGCTGGTCGGCGTCACAGAGGGTCCCAACGTGCCTGGCAGCTACTTCTTGGAGGGCTGCAACGCTACCGTCGTGCCTATGCTTGCGAGGCCCGGCGAGGTGAACCCAGCAAACTACACGGAGTTCATCAGTGGCGGATTCCTCTTGACATGGCAACTGCCGCCGTCGCCATCACCGTCTGGTAAGTTCGTAATTGGAATCAAGAACTACTACTATAGGATAGAGAGAATTGCATTCATTTGGCACTGGTCTAAAAATTGTCGAACACACCACAACTCCACAGGAACATGAGCAGCCACAGGATAGACCGAAAAGCACGGACCTGGCAGCCCAAACCACCGATCAGCATGTTTACCCGCTGATTTGATAAGGACCGTAGCGAAACGCGTGTCGTCGCTCCCAACCACGGTAGTCGTTTTGTAGTTTAGCCGCCGGCACTTCGCCGTCAGGGGCCGGCAGCACGGAAGTCAAACGAAATACAGTATATATACTACTCGTATTAAACTGGAACAGAAAGAAGTTCAGAAAAAAAACAGTAATACGTACAACAAGACTAGTAATCAAACGCTTGGATCAAAGGGCTCGCCAGTTGCCACCGTCCTCTGTCCTCTTATCCCCTCGTCATCGTCATACCCGTCCCGTCCGGCCGTCCCTCGTCCCACCATTTTCCCTGCTCACTCTTCGGGTCCGGAGGTCCCTGGCCGAACTCTGGAATCCAAACCACTCTGCCGCTGACACCCCCTCCATCCCCAATCCGCTATGCAACCATTCCTCCTCCTGCTACTCGCTTCCTTACTCCTCCCACCGGCGGCGGCCAGCGCGGAAGAGTCGTCAGGCTGCTGGCCCAAGGCATGCGGGGGGCTCAACATCACCTACCCGTTCTGGCTGGAGGAGCCCGGCCGGCCGCCGTGCGGACCGCCGTCCTTCCAGCTCAAATGCAACAGCAGCGGCGCTTTCTTGACTACATCCGTCTACCAGGCGTATCAGGTACTCAGCATCTTCCCCAACAACAACTCCTTCCATGTGGTGGACCACAACCTCCCCCTACACACCGGCTGCCCAGCGCCAACGATGAACATCTCGCTCTTCTCGCCCGCATTCGTGTTCAGCAAAACCAACAAAGAATTGCTCTTCCTTGGGAAGTGCACGGGGTCTCCACCGGCGGAGTCGGCTGGGTTTCACAGGCTGCCTTGCGACAACAGTTCCTTTGTCCGGCTCGGCAACGGCCGGAATTTCTCGAGCCACGGCATCCAGGGAGGGATCCCGCCGGGCTGCCTCTTCACTGTCGTGCCGTTTCTCGGGTCTCCCGATGGAAATGGGGACGACTACATCACCAGCATGAAGAATGGACTCCTCGTGGAGTGGAAAGCGGTGCCAGACGATTGCCTCAATTGCATGGCAAGCGGCGGGGAATGCAGGTACTATGACGACACCGGCACCAAGTTCGCCTGTGATTGCTCCGGTGACAAGTGCGGTGAGTTCAGGAAATTTAAAATGCTCAGCAAGTTCGGCTTAGTCTTCTTTGTTGGAAATAGCATTAGTCTGCTAATCTGGAAGTAGGAGCAAGTTGGCCTATCCCAAATAGTACAAAGAGGAGACAAAACACACACACATACACACATAAAGAAAAGGGGGACTGAAAAATCAGAGAAGTTCAAGCACAATTAACGGAGGATTGCTTTACTCCTACTCTTCTAGTAGTCAATTACCACTTTACCAGTAGTTCTTTTTTCTCGAACTAAACCAGTAGTTCTTAGGTCATGCAATGCAACTATACAAAGGATTCAATGATTCTGTAGTGTCCATTTGGGTGCCAAATACAGTCCTGCCAATGACATAAAGTCGCTATCCGTACTAATTGAATAATAACAACAGGTCGTCTTCATACAGTTTAGCGTGATCACTGCTGCACGGAATATACAATGTTGATTGGAAAAAAGTTTGTCCCGCTTTTACGTGGACAGTCTGCTTCAATGGCAAATTATCTTTTGGTTGATTAGTGTCAGTTATTCCATTGATTGGGACATTGAGGCCCACTGTATTATAGTCAAACACATTGGTTGAAGTATTCAACTACACTATTTGAAAACAATTGAATTTATCTGTTGTGGAATCAAGCTTCTAAAGTTGAGAAGAACACACTGCAGTGAATTTATATGGGGTGCAATCATACCCATGTGATGTGATTAGTCATGTTTCAACTGCAAAACGTGATATAGTCTGCATGGCTTGGACAATTTTTTTGATGATTTGATATTCACAAGATTCCTTGGTGTTGTTTATTTTGATTCTCATGTTTGATGTTTCCTCGTTGCATCATATTGCTCCTGCATGCCTTTTGTGAGCATGGCGTGTCTGTGCTATTTTCTTCCACCAAGACTTTTCTGGCTTGTGTGAAGAGTCAGTTTGCGTAAGGATTTGCTTACTTTCTGGCTACGATTTCTGAGGGCTATTTTCTCTCTTATCTAACTGCATCTTTGGTTCTATGTAGAGAACCTAGGAACCACTGGTTGGTGGTACCAACACCTTGGCTTATAATTTGAAATTAGATTGATCTCAAAACCCTCCCATGCTCATCTTAGAAGTGTTTCTTCACGCATCTATGTTTGGAGTACTGCTTTACCCTTTAAGGTTCTTTTGAGGAATGAGGACAGAAAATTGACCCTCTAGTCATCCCCCATTTTAAATTTTCTTCCATTTGCTGGTGAATATATAGATAGTTTGGGCCAGCAATCATGACCAAGGAATTTTATGACTATTCGATGAAGTCAAAGTCAAAGTCAATAATGGTAACCAACAACAATGCAAGAAAGTTTCAAACAAGGCACTGGATTACTGTTGTCCATCCTAATTTAACCTATCCCAGATGTGCTTCAATCGTGGTTTTGTCTTGTCTGAAATATTTTTTTGTCTTGTCACTAATCATGGTTTTCAGCAGTTACAAAGACCACATAATCTATATATGGACATACAATTTTGATGTCATTATGATCTAGAAGTCAAGATTTTTATTTCTTTTACTTCTAACAAGCTGATGGTGTTGGTACCACCTTCAATTGAGGATCTGAAATCCAGCAGTTGCTGCATTTTCTTGTGCTGTCTTTTTCAACTTTACACCTTCAATTTCTTACCATAATCATTTATACCTAGACAATTCATTAATATTTAGGTTGTAACATAGCCATGCTTCTGCTTTTCCATGATGTTTCTGGAGATCAGAGAGAGATATTCAGTGCATCGATATATATATCCTGCACTGATAATTGACCATTGTATATCGAACTGGGGAAATGGTAGTAGGAATTTTTTGCCTGTAGAGACCAAATAGTGTGGCTTTGTCTCCAGGATGACATCATGTTTGATTCTGGCTGTAGGGCACTGAGAATTTGCAGGTTTATCATCAGTAAACACTGCAAATATACCTATTTAATATCTACAAGTACATCTATGTTGTACAGCCGTACAGGCTTATATTTTCTCATGCCACACAAAGGTGCAAAATGGTCACTATTGCTGGACATCGAATGCTAACGAGCATTTCTATGTTTAAACATACATCTCTTTTTTCCTTGAACAGTTCTTTTTATTTTCTATTCTCCTCATATATACTGTCATATCTTAACTGACAGCCATGGAAGGCTATAGACTAATTTAATCTGAAAATATTACATTTAAATTAGCAAGCTATTCACAGTTACTATTCTTATGCAGGAGGAAAAATCAAAACAAGTATGGTAGTCGGAATTGGTGAGTACCAACCATGTATTGTATTTTGTATCTATTATATTGGGTCCCATTTCCTGCACTACACGAACTTTTTAGCATCTTATGTTTCAGAATGTCTAGGATCAATTGGTTACCACATATTGCTAATGTTGATACACTATTATGGGCAGCCTGTGGAGTAGGAGGCGGCTGTCTATTGGTAGCATGCTTCTTTTTTGTCTGGCACAAGCGCAAGACGAGGAAACAGGCTAGAGCACCAAATGGCTTCATGCGTAGCGAATCTTCAATGCAGTCATATAGCAAAGACCTTGAGTTGGGTGGCTCTCCACATATTTTCACTTATGAGGAACTTGAAGAAGCTACCGATGGATTTAGTGACTCAAGGGAACTTGGTGATGGTGGTTTTGGAACTGTTTACAAAGGTGGGAATACTATTTACTGAAATCCCTTGTCATTCTTAACTCTGCAGTCTGCATCTCATCATTTCTACATTAACAGATGAAACTGTGAACGATAGGAGCTATGCATAAAATATTATTTATCTTCTTCTTATTGACTTTACATGACAAGGTAACCCTTTTATTCTTCAGGGAAACTCCGGGATGGGAGAGTAGTTGCAGTTAAGCGCCTCTACAAGAACAACTACAAACGGGTTGAACAATTCATAAATGAGGTAGACATTTTGTCCCGCCTCCTCCACCAGAACCTAGTCATCCTATATGGCTGCACGTCTCGTAGCAGCCGTGACCTTATGCTTGTGTACGAGTTCATCCCTAATGGGACAGTTGCAGACCATCTTCATGGATCCCGTGCATCAGAACGTGGCCTTACATGGCCTCTAAGGATGAACATTGCCATAGAAACAGCTGAAGCACTTGCATACCTCCATGCAGTCGAAATCATACACCGTGATGTTAAGACCAACAACATACTGTTGGACAACAGCTTCCACGTCAAAGTTGCCGACTTTGGGTTGTCGCGCCTGTGCCCTCCTGAAGTCACCCATGTATCAACTGTCCCACAGGGCACACCAGGCTATGTCGACCCAGTGTACCACCAGTGCTACCAGCTAACCGAGAAGAGCGATGTGTACAGCTTCGGAGTTGTGTTGGTCGAGCTCATATCCTCTAAACCAGCTGTTGACATGAGCAGGAGCCACAACGATATTAACTTGGCCAACATGGCTCTCAACAGAATTCAGAACCACGAGATTGATCAACTGGTTGACCCTGAGCTCGGGTACGAGACTGATGATGAAACAAAGAAATTGATAGATCTCGTTGCTGAGTTGGCATTTCAGTGTCTGCAGCTAGAAAGGGATTCACGGCCGTCAATGAAGGAAATAGTGGAGGCCCTGAACTGTATCAAGAATGGGGATTCCCCAGAGAATAAGACGGATAGGAGCTCCTCATCTCCTAAGGAAGATGCACACTTGCTGACGAATAGCATACAGTATTCGCCTGACTCGGTAATCCACAGATTCCATAGCCAATCAACCACGCTCTCAGTGGCATCAAATGCTAGCGGATGAGGTACCTTGTATATATACTGATCCTGAAGAAATAAAGTCTTATCGGACGAATTGTATACAGTATAGAGATTTGTTAATGAACTGATTCATCTGGGTAAGTTGTTGTTTCCTTTTTCTTTGTTGACTGGTCCGTAGTGTAAAGTCATGTTGTATGTAGCCACAGCAGGAGCTTGGCATACAAATTGAAACATTAGGCAGAGTAGTAGAATCAGTATCATGCCAAAAATTGTAGAAACTATTTTTCATTTTGACAAAAGAAGGGGGACTACCGATGACAGAAATGGAGCAACACAAAACAAAGAAATGAAGCTGTATACATTGTACTCTAATTCGCTGACAGTCCAGTATTTGGTCCACCATGTTTATGTTATCAATCGCATTCACACTTATCTGCAATCAATTTTTGTGAGAGTGAACATGATTTTTCCGAATGCATGTTTGAGTGATGTTGGCATTCCTGGGTTTGCGACATTGCTCCTGTTTCTAGCAGTCCTAAGACATGATCTATTTAGCTATCAGTGGGGGATCTATCATGCATATCTTCTAATTCTGATGGAAGTTTCAGGCCTGTATACGCTTAGGCAATACATACATACATACAGGGAAGAATAAAAATGCATATGCGTACCTGAACAGGAGACAACCAGCCGTTCTCGCCACGCGAGGCGGCAGCTTGTGCGACGCCACCGCCACGACGGGCAATCGCCGCTGTCAGACGGTAGCGCGCAGGTTGGCCGTCTGTCTCTCTCCTGGCTTCCTGGAGTCCTGGGTCCCGAATGGCGAACGGAATCGTCCTCCTCGCCTCCTCGCCCTAGGCCGTCTGCGGACTGCGGTTGCGGGGCGGGGCGTACGACTCGACGCTGCGGCGGCGTGCGTAACGCCGTACCACATCTCTACAAGTCCACGGGCTACTTCGGTAAAGAAAGTTCACCGGGCCAGGCTGTCGTGCAAAATCTAACAAAGCCCAATGTAAACTTTTGGGCCTCTTCGTCAGGCGCATCTCTTCTGAAGCACTAATGCCACGAAGTATAAAAGAAAGAAAGAGAAACATTTGTGAGTATATATAGTCTAAAACAAAGAAAGTCAACAACACTAATGCACCGTTTAAAAAAAAACAACACTAATGCACACTGTCACTAGAAATATCCATTGGGTTCACGTCAGTCGGAACCAGTCACAGCACCACCCCACTACTTAAAAACGAACGCGTCAAATCCCGTCGCCCAACAACACACGCATCCCGTTTTGTCCCGGTGCAAAAACTGGGATCCGACGACGGCGACGTAAAATACAACGCTCCGACGATAAGACGCCATTAGCCATGGCGGCGACGCCGACCGTTGGTCCGAGCACGAGCACGAGCACGAGCACGAGCACGAGCAGCGGTTCTCTTGCACCCCCACCAAGAATCGCGCGTCCTCTAGCGCCGGTGTAGTTAGCGCCTGACGGTGATCCTGATGCGGACGCTGGCCAACGCAATTGTTGTTTGGCCCAGTGGGCAGACACAGCCCCCGCGCCGCGCTCCCGGCCTTCCAAATGGCGATGCGAGGCGAAACACGTCGTAAACAAAGAAATTCAGGGAATTTGTTTTTGCAGTTCGAACCTCGACACCCTTGCGGTGTACCAAAGCTGCCCTGGCTGTTGTCTGTGGCAGCTGTTGTATGCAGTAGTCAAGGGCCTCGTTGGAATGGTTGCGTACAACAGGGACTGATCCGGATAACTCCCCTGAAAGCATAGAAGAATACCATACGCGTCCATGACAAAACTGATAGATAGTATATATATAATATACTTATATAACGAGAGCAGCGTTCCAGGTTCAACTTCATAATCCTAGACCTAGAGCTAGACTAGATCATCTCAAGTGGTAGTAGCTGACAATAGCACACCACAGGTGGTCCTGTATTCTCTTATAATCCATCTTTTTCAGCTTGTTTTTTTTAGCCGGAACAGTATTTTTCTCTCACAATAAATCAGCCGAAACAGTATTTTATTTTATTTTTTCAGCGAAACGAACGGGGCCTAAAATGTGAGGAAGAACACGGTTATTATGAACTTGTTTAAATCTAGAATGTAAAGTTTGGGGTGTGGGTGTGACATAATGTGTCGTATGAAGTGTTCGGGTATTAACAAAAAAAAATTACAGAATCCGTCAGTAATCTACGAGACGAATTTATTAAACATAATTAATACGTCATTAACACACGTGTTACTGTAGCACCACATTGTCAAATCATAGACTAATTAGGTTTAAAAGATTCGTCTCTTAAATTAGTCGTAAACTATATAATTAATCATTTTTATTCTATATTTAATACTCGCATCGGTCAACCCTTCGATGGAACAGGGCCTACCTATAACAGCACGTCCACTGTCCACAACACTGACTGATCAGACATCAGACGGGCCCAATTATTGGAGCGCGACGAGGAGAATAATGGCCGTAGCAAGGCTGCTCAACAAGCCACCGAAGGCGAGGAGCTTGTGGATCCTCGTGCGCCGCCTCCTCCTCGGCAAAGGCCGCAACAAGCCGCCGCCGCCGGCGGGCGCGGAGGAGGATGGCGAGGGGGAGAAGAGCGGCCTCCTGAGTCGAAGCTCCTTGGAGCAGCTCCTCGTGATGACGGATGACTGCGACCCTGGCGACGATGGCGGCGCCAAGAAGCACGGCCAGCCGGTGGCGGTGCTGCTGCCGGCGCTGGCTCGGCCTGAGGCGGCTCCGGCGGCTGCGGTGTCGCCGGCAGCTAGTGAGGCGCACCGTGGCGCACCGGCCGTGCACCGGAGGTTCATGTTCGGCGGGTTCCGCCGCCGGCTGCTCATGCGGCGCCCCTGGCGGTCGATGCTCGTCGCCATCCCGGAGTGATGGATCGGTCGGTTGATCGCAAGTCTGATTATGTGAATTAAAGCGCTGGGTTATGATTCGGCATTCAAGTGCGTCAGTCAGTCCGATCAACTTCGTACGGCGGTATTCCAGCGTTTCATTTTTTTTTTCTGAGATGCACTTGTGCCCTGTAACTTTGCGTGCTCGCCGGTTCTTCTCTGTTCCTTCCTACCCGCGGACGATCTGCTTTTTCTCGCTTTTGAATAGAATGTAACCTGTACATCAACTTGAACAAGTTATCTGATCCGGAAAACAATCTGCCGAGTATTGGGTGAGAAAAAAATACAGTATGTTTTATGTGGTGTAGAAAATCTACCTCGGACTCCGAGAAAGCAAACTCAATGATTAGTCCAACTTCTCTGCCAATATTTCAGTTCAAATTTGTAAAATTTCTCAAACGGTGTGGCTGAGCGAGCTTCTTGGCAGTATCTCTGGATAGCCGCGCCCAAGCTATCAACAAAGCTACTCCTAGCAGCTTTGCTTTAGCGCACAAGTCGACAAACGTTCAATGAAACCGGGGGTTATGTCATGTCTGTTTGGATCTTCGCTATCTTGCTTTCGGCGATGAAGAAGACTGACCTCTTTAGCAGCCATCATGCTGGGCTGGGCTACGCAACAGAAGAACAGCTGCATTGGACTGAAGATTGGCCCGCCTCTGCGATAAACCTTGACGAATCGGGTCTATCTGAAATGGGCCTAATCAAGCCCGTCCGCGTATTGGGCTTATCTGGATCGGTAGGCTATTGGGTTACGATTCTTGATTAATTGGGTTAGACTGGACCTTAACTGAGACCTGGGCCTCCCATCAAGGATTATTAACTTGGGCTAGTGGGCCGGGAAAGGCAAATCTGTGGCCGCACGTGCTATTTCTACCGTTAATTTTCTCTCTCTCTCTCCCCCACCTCAATCGTCTCCATCTCTATCAATCTATGTATATCTATCTACTACTAAAAAACCCGGATGTTATTGTCAGATTAACTTCTAATCGCCCCGCAAAGCTCGTTTACTCACCCCGCTCCTTTCCTTCGCGCGACCGACGCACTTCCACGCACTTCTGCCGACGGTGTTACGGTGTGTTATGGTGAAAGACACACTTTGTGGGTCACTAATCAAACAAATTCATTGAAAAGAAACCCATAAAATCGTCTACACTTTGTGGTTAGTACCTAAACGGGTGAACAACTACTAAAGAAGTCTTTCCTTAAATGAAATATAATAAGTGGATGATCCATAAATAAGTGGACCATGGCAGTTCACACATTTATTTAAGTGGATGACCCATAAAATCCACTTAAATGAAATCTATAAAATCCATAAAGCTTAAATCTATACCCCTAATAATAAAGAGACAAAATTTCAACCTATTTTTTGGTACCATTTTTTTTTGGATACGGACTCCTCTAACTAATTTCGTGAATGTGAAAACTATTTGTATTCGTCTCTCTGCAACTTCCCGTTTTTCATATATATAGTAACATACGTAGGCCGTCTTGAGATAACTTAGATAGGTACAAATCCAAATCCTAATCCAAATAGGTCCTTTAGGTCTTGAGTAACCTGAGTAAGAATCTTAATCCTATCTCACTCTCATTTATATGATCCGTACGTGTTAGAACAGCTCGTATCGTGATAATCGATATCGATTCTAAGATGTATTAAATCGCGCCTTCCGTATCTAGACTCATGAGTCGCGTTCGTACTAGTTAGATTCTAATATTAAAATACTATAATAAGGAGAGTTCGATTTTTTTTCGGCTGTACGTATGTGAGAGGTTATGGTTTTGTTTATTCCTCCACATGCTTTAATAAAAAAACCGACCCTGCCTCCGCTTATTGTTTCCAAAAGGTAAATATTAAAAATAATAAATACAGTATATTACATTCATAATAAGGAATATGTTTTTATACGTTAAAAATAAATACACTATTCAAAATAAATAATAGATCTTTTTGACCCGATTAGGATCATCCGATTTCTTTTTGTCTTATGTTCTTTATCATAGAATAAGAATAAACAAGATATAGGAACTAAAATGAAGAAGCTCCCCTCGGCCCTCACTCTATGTCCGTGCCTGTCTGGGAGTTGGTCTGCCGCTGCTTTCTGTATTGCTCCCGCTCTGCCCCTCGCGCCATGTCCGTGCCCGTCTGAGACTCAAGAGTCAAGAGTCATTCTGCCGCTCCTTTTTGTTTTGCTCCTGTTCTGCACCATCCTGGAGTTGATAGTCGTTCTGACTTTTGTTGCCATTCTGCATGGTCAGCCATTTGTTTTCTGTTTCCACACCCCCCGACCTCAGAAGCATCTTGGTATCGATCTTTTTTCTTTTTCTCTTTCTAGGACGTTCCAATTTTCATCAAGAGAAAGAGATAGAGTCATTCGTCACGCATATGGGCCTGTTTGCTTGGAGGAATTCTGGAGGAATTTGAATGATTTGGAGGAATGCTAAAGGAATTTGTGAGAGAAAAATACTGTTCCGGATGAAAAAAGAAGCGAATCAAGCCGGATTTAAGGGCACGCGAACAGGGCCATAGGAGTACCGTCCGTGTGTTTTCGTGTGTCACGCAGAGGGTCAATTTCTTTTTCCGTTTGGATGTCTTTTTTTCCATTTTTTTGTCTTTTTTCTCCCATTCCAACATGTTCAATAAATATGAATGCGGAAAAAACTGATAGATGAATAATAAAAGTAAAAATAAAGAATAAAAGCAAGACAACAGGCTTTGAACTCATAACCTTTCATTGAAAAAGAAATGTTTTCCACCATGAAGTTATTAATGTAATTTTGATTAAAAGCAAAACTCTTATAACCCGGTTCAGTCGATAGTCCAACTAATCAAACCGTGAGACTAGATCATAAGTAGTTTGTAACCCAATGCGGTATGTATATCCCCGATTATTGCACCGGTGCAATCCCCGATTATGTCACGATGTGAAAAATCGAGAGAGGCCTCCTCTCATAATAATCGGACATACCAGCCCTAACATATTGATAACTATGACTCTACACCGACTTGAATTACAAATTTTTACATGTGTTAAAAAGAATTTGAAATTTGATATTTAATTGTACCAACAGATGTATGTACGAGCAAATATTTTTTGTGATTTATGTACAAGCAAATATTTTTGTTCTTAGAAACGTGATAATTATACATTGTCGTATTATTTAATTGTTGTGTTTTAGATGTCATATAATTGTCACAAAATAAAGTATAACAGTCAAATTTAATAAAAAAACGAAAAAATGTAAGTAGTTATGTAGCATTTCCCCTCTCCGTTTTTTATAAACATTTTGATACATTTTTTCCGTTACAACAGACAGGCATATTTGCTAGTGAAATCTAAAAAATGGATGACCCGTAAAATCCATAAATAAGTCTTTTTTTATTAGAGGTGGGTGAAGGCCTACCTTCCGTGTGAATAGAAAAGGCACTAGTTTCACAATTTTCTAGGAGCAAAAGAAAATAAAATACATGAAAACCTCATTTCCTCACGAGGAAAAAGCTCCATAGCGAAACATACCGGAACAGAACCACACTGGACAAATAAACCTTAAGAAATCACCAATAGCAACACACAGGACTGAATGGAACCGCAATCCTAGTGTACAAATCAAAGTAAGGGATAAATAGACGATGCAAGATTCATACCTTTGCGATTACAAGAAGTTGCGATGAACCAAAGTGGCATAGGCATTTCTACTCTAGAAGCTACCAGTAGTGGTTCTAATACTGTAGAAAAGGATCTGGTACAGTCTCCTCTACATTTTGGTTTTATGTCTGACTTGGCAGTGGTCGATACAATGAGAGGAGAGGGCACAAATGCTGTAAAGAAAGTTGAGCAGTTTGTGGCTACAGTTAATCAATCATGCAATGAAGTATCAAAGACTGGAACTTCTATTTTGCGTCTAAGACAAGGAAGATGTGGTATCTCTAAATACGATTCATGCACCAAAAGCGGGCTAACAGATAGGGCCACGACACCTGCAAACCCGCTAGCCGTCGGATCTGACCAACACGCAATATGGACCGTCCGATCGGGGGCGTAGCGGGTCTATCACCCGTTAAGCCGTCGACCCGGACGGTCAGGAATCCTCACGAACCCACTGGCGAGCGACTCGCCTATCCCCAACGCGGTCCTCTCCTCCAGACCTCCCGGCTCCTGCTGCCCTCTGCCGCCCCCACACCTCCCTCCTCCTCCCGGAGTAGGCGGGGGCCAGTGGCCCCAGCGCGGGCGGGGTGCGGGCGCCGCGTTCCCAGCCATCCCGGCATGGGTGGGGGGCCCATTGGCCCCGGCGACCCCGGCCGCTCCGGTCCCGGCCATCCCGGCGTGGGCGGGGGCCCCAGCTGCCCCTGCAAGCCCGGCGCGGCCTGCTGTGTGAGCGTGGCGGCTCTGGCCACCCTGTAGCAGGCAGCGGGCGCAGCACGGTGGCTGCAGGCCACCCTGGCGCGGGCGTGGGGCTCCATCCACCTTCCGGGCTGTAGCGAATGCGGCATCGGCGGCTTGTCCCTTGGTCAGCTGCACCCGCACTCTGGTGTCCCTCAGTGGGCTGGTTCCCAGACCGAAGGGGCCTGAGGCGACGTCGAGCTACAGCCGACAGGAGGCCGTTCTCGTCCTCTGACCTGACCCCTTCGCCTGCTCCTAGGTGAGGTGAGCTCTCCCTTCTTTCTCTAGCCATTAATTTTTGTGTTAGATTTGAGCCATCGTGAGATGCTTCTGTGTGCAGGGAGATGATCTATCGATTGGCATCTAAGGGCAAGAGATGAACTGTTATTCCTGAGTTAGACGTGTATGTGTGCCTGGATACAATAGTGATGTTTGTCTGGATACTATAGTTTGGTGAGTGAGGATGTGACCTATCTTGCTGCATATGCACATTCGGATGTTTGTTTCATGGACTGTTTTAGTTAGAATCTAGAAAGATAGAACTGAAAATTCAGAAGTGATCTTTTTAATACCGTGCATGTCTGTAATTTTCATGCCAGTA